TAGTTCCTAATGTAGACAGCATGTGGTGCAGCGCAAGGAAACACACACACACAAAAAAAAGAAAAGAAAAACAAAAATACAACAACAATAATAATAATAATAATAATAATAATAATAATAATAACAATAATAATAAAGCAAAAAAAAGAAAGAATTCCGTACCTTCTTTTACCACATTCTTTCTTTCACCTGTATCTTAATTAACGTTAAATCAGCCTTTGCATAGATAGATATAAACATGTACGCCCACCATCATCATTATCATCACATATACACATATTTTTTGTCACTCTTACTCCAATATCCTTCTACCACGCCAGATACAGTTTTTCTTCCTCTTTTCTTTTTTTTTTTTCTTTCTTTCTTTTCCATTCTTTTTTTTTTCCCCCACTTTTCTTCGTTTTTTTTTTTTTTTTTCATTTAAGGCGTGCGGATCGCTCAGGTGGTGGTGGATTAACATTATTCTCACGGTGTAGCTGCATTGCCTGTTCCCACCCATAATCAGAAATGACATCCGACTTCCCACAGTATGATACTTGTAGTGGTTTATCCCTTTCCATGTTGTAGCGGTTGTGTAGAGCCATTATCGCACAGTCCGCCTCTTCTGTTGAGCCGTACTCCACAAACGCACTACCCTTACTGCGGTTACTCGTCTTATCTCGAAGTATATTCACACTTAATACATGACCGTAGAAATTAAAAATGGCGCGAATGTCCTCTTCAGTGGCGCCAAAGTTAAGTTGTCCCACAAAGAGACGTGCACGGCCCTGTGGCATGATCACACACTCAAGCACAGCAGAAATTGACGGCGTTTGGCTGCTTGAACCCCTTGCGCGTCACTATAATAATAATAATAATAATAATAATAAATAAGCAAGTCCATAAAGAGTAAAGAAAAGAAGGGAAGGGAAAAGGAAAGAAAAATAAATAAAGAAAAAACAAAAAAACATCTCTTTCATTACAAGGGGTGAGATGAAACATAAATAACAATAACAATAATAATAAAAACAAATTCCCCGACAAGATTGAGGTCGAGATTCTCAGTATTGTGCCAAGTGTTGTTACCGTTTTTTGCTTTTTTTTTCTGGTGGTGGGAATAGAGCACCATCTACCGTTCACAGATAATTACGTGAATAATAGAAGAATTTGTCGCTCAGCAAATCAGAAAAATGCAGGCGTAAAGTATAAGAAAAAAAAAGGAAATGTTTAAAAGAGAAACAAGGATAGACCCATACGAGCAAAGAAAAAAAAAAAGAAAGAAAAAGTGGACGATTCTGACGGCCAGCATATATTCATCATTGTTGTAAACAATGGTATGGTTGCTGCAGAACCTTTTTTTTTTTTCGTTTTTCTTTTTCAAAGTAAAATAAATGTTTTTTTTTTTTTTTTTTTT